AAAAAAAAAAAGAGTGGCAGGTTCGAACCAGGCCTGGGCCAGCTAAATAATAAAAATTGCAACAAAAAACAGCCAGGCATTCTGGCAGGAGCCTGTAGTCCCAGCTACATGGGAGGCTGAGGCAAGAGAATCGCTTAAGCCCAAGGAGTTTGACGTTGCTGTGAGCTGTGATGCCATAGCACTCTACCGAGGGCGACATAATAAAAAAAAATGTGGTGGGTAAATATTGCCAAAATAGTAAGGAGTATCCAAATGAATGGAGTATGAAAAACACTTGAAAGGATAAAACTAAATTCAGGGAATATAGTAAATTTATTTATTTATTTATTTTTTTGAGACAGAGTCTCACTATGTTGCCTTCAGTAGAGTGTCATGGTGTCACAGCTCACAGCAACTTCAAACTCCTTGGGCTTAAGTGATTCTCTTGCCTCAGCCTCCCAAGTAACTGGGACTACAGGCACCAGCCACAACATCTGGCTATTTTTTTTTTTCCAGTTGGAGTTCTCATTGTTGTTTACCAGGCCCAGGCCAGACTTGAACCCGCCAACCTCGGTGTATGTGGCTGGCCCACAACTCACTGAGATATAGGCACTGAGCCAATATAGCAAATTTAGTAAACACAGTCATATTAGAATGAATAAAGGTGGTAGATTCTCATCTACTATAACAAGTTAAATTTACTTAGACTTAATAAACGAAAACACAGCCACATAATCATACTGTTTAGCAATCTGAACTTAATGACATACCACACAAATTAATAAAAATAGTAAAAAAAAAAAAGTGGTTTGTTTGAGAGAGTAAGCCTAGGTGTGTGGAAAACAGAGAAGGCCAGGATCTAAGCCCTTCTGAACTACATAATTGTTTAATGACATACATTTAAGTAATGCCTGGGTAGGAATGGGCTGGGGAGGGTGGGAAATCAGGTCAGCAAATTGAGCGTTAGCAAGAAATAAACTAAGTAAAACCTTCTAAAGTGACTGACACTTACCTACTGGGGCCTGGGGGGCTCCAAAGCCCAAAGTAGCTGTCGTAGTATTAAATCCAGGGGCCCCAAAGGCTCCTGTACCAAGAGGCCCTCCGATCTTAGGTTGGCTGTTTCCAAACAAAGATGCCTGTCCAGCACCAAGAGCTATGGAGACAAGAGGAAAGATAAAAGTGCCAACAGAAACTCCTTTGAATGTTGTGCCAGAGGTCATTTAAAAATATAATACATTTGGAAACTTTATAATGACCACTCATTTCAACAAATAGCTAATAATACAGTAAATGTTAAAAATATGCTAGGCGCTGGAGTCAGTACATTCATTATATTATATGTGACACAGGCAAAGTATTTGATTGCTCTGTGCTATATGAGGTAATGATACATAGCTAAGACATTTATCTTTGAATTAAAATGAATAAACATGTGAAGCATTCAGAAGATTTTGGTACATACTAAACACTCATCAAATAATAGCTAATATGCCACAAACAGAAAGTATTATTCTTATTTTACATTGAGAAAACTGGGAGTTTAGCAATTAGGTCACAACATCACAAATATTGTAGGTAGTAAAAATGGGATTCAAACCTCAGAGCACCTGACAGTGCAACAAGAACTCTTTAACTGCTACTATATTGTAAAACACATTTTCAGACAATTAAAAAATTCTTCTTAAATTTCAATATTTGCCAATAGAAATACTCAACTGACCAATCACAATGACATCTTTTTGACTCAAATACAGGCTAACCTACAAAAAACCAAAGCCAAAGCTAGGCACAGTAGCTCACTCCTGTAATCCCAGCACTGTGGGAGGCTGAGGCAGGACTGCTTGAGCTCAGGAGTTTGAGGCTTGTCTGAGAGTGAAATCCTGACTCATGGAAAAAAATGGAAAAACCCAGCTGGGCGCCACGGAGAGTGCCTGTAATCCCAGCAGTTTCCGAGGCTGAGGCAGCAGGATGCCCACAGCCTGAGTCTGAGGTTGTGGTAAACTACGATGCCATTGCACTCTGCTCAGGGCATAGGGTAGAACTCTATCTTGACAAAAAAAATAGGAAAAAAAAATTAAAACCAAAGCCAATATTTCTTTTTTCAATAGCAAAAGTAATATTTTTAATCAAACTTTTTTTTTTTGAGACAGAGCCTCAAGCTGTCACCCTGAGCAGAGTGCTATGACATTATAGCTCACAGCAACCTCCAACTCCTAGACTCAAGCGATTCTTCTGCCTCCACCTCCCAAGCAGCTGGGACCACAGGCACCTGCCACAAGGCACAGCTATTTTTTTGGTTGCAGCTGTCATTGTTTGGGGGGCCCGAGCTGGATTCAAACCCACCAGCTCAGGTTATGTGGCCAGCACCTTAGCTGCTTGAGCCACAGGCACTGAGCCATTTAATCAAACATTTTGTGTTAGCTACACAAATTTGTTGTATAAAAAGCTTAATGTCTTGTGATGAGGTTACTAACAGATTCAAGTTTCAGGAAACCCACTGTAGTAACAACTTGTAATGTTGAATCCTGCATTGTTGACAGTGATTTTAAAGATATAAAATGCAGGGAAGAAGATGATTAAGTTATTGGCCAAAAAAAACCAAAACCATCTATTCACCAACTCACCCCCGTAGGTTATCGGCAATTTAGAGGATCTAAAGTTCCCATTAATATATCAACCACATTTTGAAAGAAATATGGTTTACAAGGAAAATCACTTTAAAGGTATAATACCTGGAGGTAAAAATACTGCATGGGAACTGCTTTGAGAGTACAACCAAAAAAGGACAAGAAGTTTATACCAACATAAATCAATATGGGTGACTACTGAATAAATTATTATGCAACTGTACAACATCAATGAAAGTTAAGATAACAATATAGCAATGAGATTACCTTAAAAACTCAGCTCTGGGACAGGAAAAAGATTTATTTTAAATTCCCAAACCATTAGTAATTAGTGCAAGCACCAAAAAATACCAAAATTACATTACGGCCTCAAAGGAAATATTTTGCTGCACAAATTCTAGGACTTGCCCCCCCCCTTCCCCATGAAGCCTAACAAATTCTTGTCCCCCAAACAAAAACTTAGATAAAACTCAAGTATATAGGTTGGACGCAGTGGCTCATGCCTGTAATCCTAGCACTCTGGGAGGCCTAAGTGGGTGAATTTCCTGAGCTCACAGGGTGGAGACCAGCCTGAGCCAAAGAGAGATGTTGTCTCTAAAAATGGCTGAGTGTTGTGGCGGGCACCTGTAGTCCCAGCTACTCAGGAGGCCAAAGCAAGAGAATTGCTTGAGCCTAAGAGTTTGATGTTGCTGTGAGCTGTGACGCCACCGCACTCTACCGAGGGTGAGAAAGTAAGACTTTGTCTCAAAAAACAACAACAAAACTCAAGTATAAAAATGGTCAAATAGTTAGTTCTGTTCTGAATAGGTACAGCTCTCCCTCATCTTTGCAGCAGCCCAAGATAAAGACCCATGGAACAGTGTAAAAACCACTGTACTGTTCTTAAATAATCCACAAAACAAAAACATTTTAAAAAGGCATTTTGAGGGCAGCACCCATAGCTAAATGTGTAGGGAACTGGCCACATACATGGAGGCAGGTGGGTTCAAGCACGGCCTGGGCCCGCTAAACAACAATGACAACTGTAACCAAAAAATATCTGGGTGTTGTGGTAGGTGCCTGTAGTCCCAGCTATTTGGGAGGCTGAGGCAAGAGAATCACTTAAGCCCAAGAGTTTGAGATTGCTGTGAGCTGTGATACCACAACACTCTACTGAGGGCAACATAGTGAGACTCTGTCTCAAAAAAAAAAAAAGCATTTTGACATCCAGGTGTTCCAGAAAGAAACTGTCATAAAATAGTCTGACTAGGCTCGGAACCTGTAGCTCAAGCAGCTAGTGCCAGCCACATACACCAGAGCTGGCAGGTTCAAATCTAGCCCAGGCCTGCCAAACAACAACTACAACCACAGCGGGCACCTGTAGTCCCAGCTACTTGGAAGACTGAGGCAAGAGAATCACTTAAGCCCAAGAGTTTGAGGTTGCTGTGACCTGTGACAGCAGGGCACTCTACCCAGGGCGACAGCCTGAAACTGTCTCTCAGAAAAAAAAAAAAAAAGTCTAACTACAGACTATTATAACTTATCAGCGGAAAGAAATGTTTTTCATCTAGATCTGCCCCATTTTACATATTAGGGAACTGTATGGGGGACAGAATGGTATTAGTGGCCTTAGAAACTCCAAGGATACTCATGAAAAACAGGAAAACAGCTATATTCCTTTTGAGATCTAACAAACAGAATTCAATTTTATCAATGGTTATCTATTAGCTTTGAATAGAAGATTTTCCTATGTATCTCTTACTATAATCATCAAGCCTTACTAATAACCCTTCAATTTACTATTTCATGGAAAAGTTTATGATCTAAAACTTCTAAGTAACCACCAAGAAAACAGTATGTAGTTGACAGTGTTAAGGATAGTTATAAAAACATCACTGTGGAAAAAAATTAATAATATGCAAACCCATAATTTAATGAATGTTCCTTAGTCTGAATACATGGGAGTATTCCTTAGTCTGAATACAAGGAAATCATATGCCAAAGGACAATAAAAAACAATTAAAATTTATGTTTACAAAAAAATGTTACATAGTTTTTATATTTAATTTGTGTATCAAGTAACTACTCAAGAAGTATCCAAAGGCCCACATTACAGGATAATTTACTTCTGTGGAGGCATGAGTTTGAACTGCCATCACTCAAAACAAGAGGTTGATCCTGGGACTTGGCAGAGTGAAAAATAAAAAACAAGTCACAGAGGAATTCCCACAAAATTAATGTCCCCCTAAAAATACAGCCCAAAGCTATTATTCTAGTCTACTTGTGATATCATTAACTGCGTTAATTTATGAATGTGGGTATCTACATGCAAGTCTCAGAACCAAAAGGCTGCTTTAGCAGGCATGATAAAGAAAATGCAATAGTGTGAGTGCTTGGTGACCCTCATGATTCTTATTTCCCTACATGATCTGCTGCTAAGGTTGGGAGTATAAAATTCTTCATTGACTGTATTTCTTTTTAGTTTATATGGACAAAGCACAAATGAGGAATACATAACAACAATAAAAACATAATTAACACTATGAGAGAAAATTTAAGAAAAAATGAACACTGGGGGCAAGACACAATTGTAAGAGGGACTTTACCTAACAAATGCAATCAATGTAACCTGGTTTCTTGTACCCTCAGTGAATCCTCAACATTAAATTAAAAAAAAAAAAAAAAAAGGAAAAAGAAAAAATGAACATACTAAAATAAAAGACTGGGATATTATATTATTGTACAATGGGAAACAACAGCATCAGAAAAAGTTATAGAACATTTTATAATCTTGGACCACAGAAGATATCACTAATCATAATGTGTATAAGCAGAAGCTAAAGAAAAAAGAAACATAGGCCACATAAAAATAAAACTTGCATGTGAAGAAAGACACTACCCATACACAAAATTAAATGATTAACAAAAAGCCTTAGTGGACATACCTATAACAAACTTTAGAACAGCATCTGGCTGGCTATAGGTATAAGTTTGCAAACTGTCTACAGCACAAAATAAACTTGAAAGTACTCCTGTGTCTGGGCAAGGTGGCTCACAGTTATAATCCTAGCACTCTGGGAGGCCATGATGGGGAGATCACTTGAGCTCAGATGTTGGAGACCAGCCTGAGCAAGAGTGAGACTGCACAATCTACAAAAAATAGAAAACTTGGCTCGGCACCTGTGGCTCAGGAGGCTAGGGCACCAGCCACATACACCTAAGGTGGTGGGTTCAAATCTAGCCCGGGCCCACCAAACAACAATGATGGCTGCAACCAAAAAATAGCCGGGCGTTATGGCGGCC